ATACTTTAAAGAGGTCTTTTGCAGCACATTTGCCCTGTGCAATACATCATTTGATTTCTTGACTGCTGCTTCTGTGAGTATTGATTATCGATCTAAGTAAAATGAAATCCTTGACAACTTCAATCTTTTCTCCATTTATCGTGATGTTGCTGATTGGTCCAGTTGTGAGAGTTTTTGTTTTCTTTATATTGAGGTGTAATCCATACTGCAGGCTGTAGTCTTTGATCTTCATCAGTTCATGCTTCAAGTCTTCTTCACTTTGAGCAAGCAAGACTGTGTCATCTGTGTATCATGGGTTGTCAGGGAGACTGATAGGAGACCCTTATCCCTGTGTAGAGTCCCCAGAAAACACTGGGTCATGAAGCAGGTAATTAGAGGAGAAAGTTACAAACACAAGAGCCAGCAAAAGGTCTTTTTCAGATCATAATACAATAGCTTTCTCTTTGAATGAAGTTACAAAATGGAGGATCAAGGGAATATAGTCAACTTAATATACTAAAATTTCAGGTGGGGATTTGATAAAGTTCTTCACGGTATTCCTATGGCCTAAATGGAGAAATACAGGCTGGATGAGGGTGCAGTTCAGTGGATTCAAAGCTGATTGGACAATCCTTGCTGAATCCAAAGGATTCAAAGCGGTTGGACAACCCCTGCTGAATCCAAAGAACACTGTGGATCTCAAACACTGTGTTTGTGGCTTATGTCTCTTGTCTGTGTTTGTGTCTAATCTATGTGTACGTCTTTGTCTAGTCTACATCTACAGTCTGTGTTTGTCCTGCAATGTTGCTGTTGTCACTGGGTGCCATTGAGTCTGTTTTGACTCATAGCGACCCTACATACAATAGAAGAAATACTGGCCTGTCCTACCCCATCCTTACAGTCCTTGCTGTACTTGAGCCCATTGTTGCAACCACTGTGTCACTTTATCTCATGGAGGGTCTTCCTTTTTTTCACGGACCCTCTACTTTACCAAACATGTTGTCCTTCTTCAGGGACTAGTCCCTCCTGGTAACATGTCTGAAGTACATGAGATGAAGTCTTGCCATCCTCGTATCCAAGGAGCATTCTAGATGTACATCTTCCAGGACAGATTAGTTCATTCTTCTGCCGGTCCATGGTGTATTCAGCATTCTTTGCTAGCACCATAATTCAGCTGCATCAGTTCGTCTTTGGATCTGTGTCTATTCTACGTCTTGTCTGTGACTGTGTCTACTCTGGGTCTAGTCAGTGTATATGAACATACACACACAGGAAAGGAAACACATAGGAACCTTGTTTTAAAATGCATGTTCCCAGGCCACCCAATGCAATGGGTTCAGGGCAGAATCCATTTATCCACCCCTTTCTAACAGGGACCACGGGTGATCCTGTCCTGCGGTCCGTGGACCACTCCCTGAGAAACACTAAGTTAGGGGCTGAGGGCACCTGGAAGGAGGTCTCTTAATAGTCTTCCAGAGGACTCCATCCTAGATCCCCTCTTATAAAAAAAAGAGCATGTGTGTGTTCATTGCTGTCCTCCACAATTGAGTGCTGAATGAACACCCAGGAGGCTGATTGATAAATCTTCCGGTGACCCCAAGTCGTGTGGCTCAGATGAAATACAGTGATGGCAGAGTCAAGACTTGAGGTGCTTGGTTCAGCCAGGAATGTTGGACTGCAGCCAACTAGAGGGAATTTAACAGAGAGAGGTTGAAAGTTCTGCTTTTGGTTTAAAAAAAATCAATACAGTGCTAGAGGCTGGAAGAAAGATGGGCTTCATAGCAGTTCATGGGAAGAAATCCGGGCAGTTCGTGGACCACAAGGTTGGGGGCGGGGACACCCACAGGCCATGTTCATGTGGTCCTCAGGCATCACTCATTAGCCCCCTGTGCTCGGAGCTTGATAGACAGCCTCACACCGAGGCCAAGAGTAAGAGGGATGCTGGCCAGCTCCAGAGAGTTTGAGCCTGGAGGCTGGTGATGAGGTCAGGAAGGTCTGGAGACCTTACCCAGAAGAAGGACACATGGGGAAACTTGAGCAGCGGGAGAGTGTGGGGGCCACACCAGAGCTCTGACGTATGCGAGGCGTCTTCTGGGCTGCCCCAGTGCATGAGTTAAGGAGGTGGACTGCAACAGCTCGTTATGAGAAGGAACTTTCCAACAGCTGGAATCTCTCTAATAGCTGGAACAGCTGCCCCATGAGGGGCCTGGAGGAGAAGGGGGTAAAAGGTAAGGAATGGAGAGGGGGAATCCCCCGTTCCTGGAGGTGTCAGGAGAGACCCAGTAGGGTACCAGGCATGTGGTGTCACTAGGTGTCTGTGGTTCCCAAGCCTACCTGTGTGTCAGAATCACCTGGGAGCTGGTGAAAAGTACGGGTTCCACTCAGACCTGCCGCATCAGCGTCTCTAAGCCCAGGACCCATTACCTTTTGGAGCCACTAGACTAGAGAGCAGTAGTATTTTCCTGTTACCTAAATGAAACATGCTCTGGAGCGAGTGGACCGGCTTCTGGGGCCCAGCTGGCTCCTGCCACGTGGTTTTGTTGTGCTCCATCCCCATTACCCCACCTGCCAAAAGTTTAGCCATCATTCCTGCCCCCCTAAGAAAGCGTTCGCAGCTGAAGTGACTACCCTGCCCCCCTCTGCTGCCACTGCTAACCTTTGTCCGGGATCTTGCTTGTAGTGCTGCGGTCGGCATTGGCTTCTATGGAAACAGAGAGACCAACGATGGGGTGTACCAGCTGATCTACTCCTTGGACAATGCCAACCACACCTTCTCTGGGATCGATGCTGTGGTAAGGCTCGTGGGCAGCTGGCAGGGCCTGGCCACAGCCCAGGAGGACAGTGCAGCCAGAACAAGAGCCCCATGCAGGCCCCCGCCAGTGGCAGCCCCAACACTGAGGCCTGTGTGATGCTGGGTGGGCAGACACCCCTCTGGGCCACAGTGTTCACTGCCAGGAGTGAACGGGCGCTTTCTGCTTCCCCAGCTGAGAGCAGTGGCGGGGGCAGGAGGGGTGGACTAAAGAGAGGGAGGGTGGAGATGGCAGCGGCAGTGGCACCAGCAGGATCGAATCCCGTCATCTTCAGGAGGAGCAGGGCAGGTTCCCGTTTGCCAGAAGAGATTTGGGTGGAGCACCCCTTGAGCACAGCCTGAAAGCCAAACCTGGCTCCAGCCTGAAGCCCCAGTGAAAAACCTCTGGGCTGGCCGAGCAGCCTCAGGCCAGAGGCTTTCTCAAAGGCTGACCTCAGCCCCGATGCATGTCGCCTGCACTGTAAGCTATGGGATCCCCTGAACTGGCTTTCTGGCCACCCCTGTGCTACCCTGGTGCTGCGTTGGAGGCGAGGCTTTGGTAGAAATGGTGAAGGGCAGCTTGCAGGGACGCTAGTCCTTGGCCATGCATGCTGTTCCCAGGTCCTCTTTGGACCAGGACCCCAGCACCAGCCCTTTGCATCCAGCATCCTCAGCCCTGGCTTTTGCTGAAAGAGGATTTGACCTGCTCTGAGCCCACCCCTCCAGCTCCCATAAGCTGCTCTGAGGTTTTAACCTCTTAGTCCACTGCACTGGTGGCTCGCCTGAAAGATACAGGCTAGCTCTGGCCCCAAGAGCCCTTCCTGGGATTGAGGGTCAGGTGCAGAGCGGGGGCAGGTCTCCCATATCCTCTGGGACCCACTGTCCACCCTGGAAGATGGAGGGCTGGTGTCCCAAAGTGCGGATGCTGGGCTGGTATAGCACCAGGGGCGAGGGCAGGGTGGCTGGGATGGAGGAACGGTGAGGGATAGTCTCAGGGTATCCCAGTGGGTATCACCCGGCCTGGCCAGCGGGAACTCACCCCCTGGGCATCTCCACCAGTGTCCGAGTTCCCAGTAAACAAGGTAAGCACGGGCTTACCTGTGCTTACTTATTGATCCATAGTGAACAGTTCCACATTCTCACCTCATTATAGTTTCTGCTTCTGGGTGTGGCTGGCATCTGTGTCTCGCAACCTCACAACACCGTCCTACAGAATCAAAGCCTCTTTTCCAATTTACAATCCCTGACAGGGACGGAGACCCAGGAAGTAAGGTCAATTGTTCATTATAGATTAGTAAGTAAGCACAAGTAAGCCCGTGCTTGCCTTGCTTATTGGGTAATCCGTCCCTGATCCCCACCCATGTCTGGGCCCTGGGAGGGTGGGGCTCCATGGTTGCTGCTCTCTGGGTTCTGTCTGTATCCCCCACTTCTCCCACCCACCGCTGCCAGAACCCTGGTGGAGAAGCTTAGCCCGGGGGGCGAGTCCTCTGACTGGGGAGGCCCCAGGGCCATGACCTTCACTGGCTGATTTGTGACAGTGATGGAGGTGGTCCTCATCTAACCAAACCTGTTGCCGACTCAGTTCCAACTGATGGCGGCCCCCTGAGCCACTCAGTGGGTTTTCTCGGCTGTAGATTGCCAAGCTTTTATTCCATGGCACTTCTGGGTAGGTTTAAACTGCCAACCTTTAGGCTGGTAGCCGAGCTTAAACCTTTCGCACCTCCCCAGGGACTGAGAGAGAGAGAGAGAGAGAGAGAGAGAGAGAGAGAGAGAAACTCCCAGAGCTGCTGGGATGGGAGATGGTGAGAGCTTGGAGTCGTTATCCCCTGGGGTGAGAATTATGCAGGACTAGCTGGGATTGAGACCCCCAGGCCAGGCCTTTCCGTAGATCCAGCCCCTTGCTGCCCACGTGCTGGTGCCAGTGATTCAGCTGGCCCTGGGCGAGCCCCTGAACCCTCAGTGTCTTAGCTTTCTCAGCTGCCCCTGAAGCCTGGCCCTGTGTGTTTGTGCTGCTCTTACTAGTGGCCGTGTGGGTCCCCTCAGGGTCACCCTCATTGAGCCTGCAGCAAGCCTGTGGCAGCCAGAGACAAAGAAACCATCATGCAAGCAGGGGAAGGTTCTGTGCCAACTTTGAAAGCTAGTGTGTTTTAGAGGAAAGCCTGGAACCAAAGTCTTAATCCTATTTTTCCCCACCCCTTACCTTCCTGAAGGAGCTGGTAACGTAGTGGTTAAAGCACTGGGCTGCTACCCAAAAGGTTGGTCATTTGAACGCACCAGCCGCTCCGTGGGAGAAAGATGAGGCAGTCAGTTCCATAGAGATGACAGCTTTGGAAGCCCTATGGGCGATTCTGCTCTGCCCTCTAGGGTCACTGTGAGCTGGAATCGACTCCACAGCACAGAACAACGGATGCAGCTGGTCAGGGACCCACTTTGAGAACCAGCTGTATCCTGTGGGTCCGCAGCTTCCACTGTCTGCCTCCTCCTTAACCCTGCCCTGGCCGAGGAGCCAGACTCTTCATCTCCTCAGAGCTACTGTTTCTCTGTGGGAGAAAGGCGGACTCCACCTTTGGGGGTTCCAGCTATGTCTCCCTGCTGTGTACTCCAGCTGTGTACTGGAACCCCTAAGGAAGAGGGGAGGGGAAAGCTGTGAGTGGGTCAGCTTTGTGGCTGTGATTTCCGTTCCTTTGTTCTGCGTCCCGTGGGAAGACATCAGGAGGAAAGAACCAGGCTGACAGGTGTCAGTGTCTTTTGCTTTTTCAAGTTGAAGTTTAAGAAGCAAAAAAGTTAAAAAATGGGGAGCTAGGGAAGGAGAAAAAAGTGATCTTATGGGAAGAATTTAAAGATAATTTTCAGAGCCCTTTGCTCTAAAGTTTATTGGATACACAGATCAGTCACTGTCTGGTTGATTCCCATGGGTGTCAGAGTGGAACTGTGCACCCCGGGGTTTCTGTGACTGGTTTTTGAAAGGCAATCACCAGGCCTTTCTTCCGGGGCACCTCGGGGCGGACAGTAGTGACATTTGTATCACAGGGTTGCAAGCCCTTCACCCACATTATTGAATCTAGAAGGAAAGTTGATTGGGATGACATTTGGTTACTAGAGGAGCCCTAGGAGTCCTGGTGGTGTGGTGGGTAAGGCATTTGGCTGCTAACCAGAAGGTTAGCAGTTCAAACCCACCAGCTGCTCTGTGAGAGGATGATGAGGCAATCTACTTCCATACAGATTTATGGCCTTGGAAACCCGAGGGGCTTGCTATGAGCCAGAATTGACTGGATGGCAGTGAGTTTCATTTTTTGAGAGAGGAGCCCTGGTGGCACAGTGGTTGAGTGCTCGACTGCTCAGCGAGGGTCGGCTTCACTGGACAAAGACCTGGCACTCTCTCCCATAAACATCTGCAGCCTTGGAAACCCTGTG